GGACATGGTGCTGGGATAAGAGACTGTCCCGCCAAATAAGGAATGCTTGACAGCTACGGTTGTATCATTTTAATGTTGTTAGCCGCTCTGAGCCCGGCTTCGGCTGGGGAGGGTGGGATATAAATAAATTATTATTATTATTATTATTATTATTATTATTATTATTATTACTATCAGTTGGCGTCACCCATATTACATGTGACGTGTCTGAGCCACAGGGACCATGGATGACAACAACAGAATTGCAATTAGAAGGTTATGAAACATTCCTGGAATCATCTCCTCGCTCTGTCTCACATTAATTCAGTTCTGGGGATCCTCCTCTTTAACTGTAGATGCCACCTGGCTTGAAGAGCCTGAATTTCCATCTCAGTTCCTATTGGCTCCAATGACATCCCTATAAAGATACAGCCTTCAGAGCCTTTGGTCTTCCGTGAGCAAAGAGGTGTGAGCAGCACCTGCCACCCAAGAGCAGCATCTTCTCAATTTGAGCTTCTTGCATGGCCACAAGGGCCCCAGGGACAAGCTTCCTGCTGAATCGTCGCAGGGAAAAATTGCCGGGCGGAACAGCTCTGGGGTGAGTACACTGGGGTTTCTGGAACTGAAACAAGGTCCAAACAAGAACTGCTAATACTGTATTTCCCCATATATAAGCCACACTCCTCCCACCCCCCATTCCCACCATGAAAAGTTAAAAGAGCAGCTTAAATTTGTGACTTTACGAAAAAATGGCATTTACGATGTTGCTGCTGAAACAGACATACGGTAAAACGGAGCGGGTGTGAGTGCCTGTGGGATTTTAAGGGAGCGGGTTATATTCGGGGGTGTTTTTTTCTCCCCTCCCTGAATTTTAAAGGTGCGGCTTATTTGTGGGTGCGGCTTATATTTGGGCCAATACAGTATTTTTTATTATTAATTTTCAGTTACAATCCAATAATAGCCTCATTATAACAATACCAATTTATAATACAATTACTAATACCAATCGTTCAAATGCCGGATTATATAATTTAGATAATGTGCCCCCCCTGTATGCTAGAACTGATGGTTTGATTATTTTCTTTATTTTTGCATTCCAAAATCTTATTAATTTCAATTACATTCTGGTCAAAATAAGAATGCCTTATACAACAACTGCAATATTCTTAACTATTTGTGTTGACACATGAAATGATTTATGGAACTACAAGTGAGGCACTCAAACTATATCCTTGTTCTTCCTGTGTGTGGCAATTATTCTTTCTGTCCTTGTAAAATGTTATGTCTGTTTCCCCCCCGGTTGTTGCTGTTATCCATCATGCCTTGGGTGGAGCATGGGATATCCCATTGTTGTTCCAGAAATTTCTCCCTCCCTCTGTCCCATACTTCGTTGTTTTGAAACTTTAACAGCTGCAAAAATCACTCTGTCCCAATGAATATCCTGTTTTTGCCATTTTTCCTCTCAGTCTGGGAAGAAGAGTGGTCTGTCAAACTGCAGATGACTCAATAACTGTCAAACTGCAGATGACTCAGTTCCTTGGCAAGTTTGCAGACTCCTGTCATCCTTCCGTCCAACTGAATTAAATTCTAAGTCCACTTAGCGTTATTCAGTTCACTCCATAAATAATAAAGGATGGGGACGAGTCGGCTCTAAGTTTCCATCGTAAACTTTTCGCAAAATTGAGCTTCCCTCCCTTTTCCCTTTTTTTTACACACACAGTTTTGTTTAATGTTATATTCCATATCTATAATCCAATTACTTCCCTCCTCGCTTGTACAGTGGTGCCTTGGTTCTCGAACTTAATGCATTCCGGGAGTCCATTCAAATCCTGAAACCATTCAAAAACCAAGATGCAGCTTCCGATTGGCTGCAGGAGCTTCCTGCACTCAAGCAGAAGCCGCGTCGGATGTCCAGCTTCTGAAAAATGTTTGCAATCCGGAACACTTACTTCCGGGTTTGCAGTGTTCAGAAGCTGATTTGTTCGACGACTAAGCCATTCAAGAACCAAGGTACCACTGTACAAATATAATTTGAACTAATGTTCAAAGGAGGGTTGCCGAATCATAAACGTAGAGAAGAAAACTTAACATAAAGAAACTGTAGCCTCCCCTCCCCGGACACAGTCTTTTGCACCTAATGAAGTCTGATCTCAAGTTCAAACCGTAAAGTCCTTGCAGTTGGTTCTGTTCCGCAGTTTATGATCTCATCTCTTCTAGCACATGCCCGTACTTTAGTCCAAATTAAGCTCCAATTAACAGGAGAACCTCTGCTTCTTAATGGCGGCGTTGGAGGGTTTTTGGCAGGCAAAGTGCTTTTGCAATCAGCGCCTCCCTGCCCCACGCATTCCATGCCAGAGTGAGAGGCAAGTAACGAGACAAACTGCAAGTGAAGTCCATCCCCCTGTCCTGGGGGGGAACTTGCAAGGATAATTATCCTTAATCATCCTTGTTTTTTATTTGCCAAGGATCTCCCGCTGTCATGGGAGCTGCCTCCATTAAGGCAGACCGGAACCAGAAGCCATGTCTAGGAGAATTGGCCAGGCTTCCAAACAGAGTACAGGTTGTTTCAATATCCTAGAACGCCATGAGATGCAATACACCTGCCAACTGCAAAATGGTCACACTTTGGATAATGGGTCGGGACAGGGAGAGCCGGAAACTTGGCTTTTGATCCCTATTTGGTCACGATGGTCTGCTCAGCTCACCCTTCCTCGCAGGGTTGTTGTGAAGCTAAAACGCAGGAAGGGGAAAGAGACTTGTGTAGGCTGACCTGAGCCTGCTGCTGGGATAAAAATACAATAACTTATGAATGAAATGAAGAGTGCAAATGACTTTGCTAGGTCCTGCTGTGGTTAGACAGAAATCCCTAGCAAGTTGGATAGTGAAGGGTGGTTTTTAAAAAAATATTATTTAATGCTGCAATGTTGTTGTTTCAATGATCTTAAACATATTGTATTTTAGCGTTTATTTTTAAACATACAGTGGTACCTCGGGTTAAGTACAGTGGTACCTCAGGTTAAGTACTTAATTTGTTCTGGAGGTCTGTTCTTATCCTGAAACTGTACTTAACCTGAAGCACCACTTTAGCTATTGGGGCCTCCTGCTGCTGCCGTGCCACCAGAGCACGATTTCTGTTCTCATCCTGAAGCAAAGTTCTTAACCTGAGGTACTATTTCTGGGTTATCGGAGTCTGTAACCTGAAGCGTATGTAACCTGAAGCGTATGTAACCCTGTATTGCATTTTAGCATTTTATGTTTCTCAACTACAGCTGATATACCGTATTTTTTGCTCTATAAGACTCACTTTTTCCCTCCTAAAAAGTAAGGGAAAATGTGTGTGCATCTTACAGAGCGAATGCAGGCTGCGCAGCTATCACAGAAACCAGAACAGCAAGAGGGATTGCTGCTTTCACTGCGCAGCTATCCCTCTTGCTGTTCTGGCTTCTGAGATTCAGAATATTTTTTTTCTTGTTTTCCTCCTCCAAAAACTAGGCGCGTCTTGTGGTCTAGTGCGTCTTATAGAGCAAAAAATACGGTAAGTAGGGAGAGGAGTGAATGGGAGGGAAGATTGTCTTGCATGGAGGTCATATTTACCTGTGCCAGATTTGTCCTTGCAGACAGGACTTTGTGATGGATAGAGCAAGGAATGTGAGAGCCAATGTGGCGCTGTTTCTAGAATGTTGGACTGGAACGTGGGTTCAAATCCCCACTCAGCCATAAAACTCAGTTGGTGACTTTGGGCAGTCTCTCAGCTTACAGGGTTTTTTTGGGGGGGGGGAATAAAACAGGGAGAAAGATAACAATGCATGCCACCTTGAACTCCTTGCAGGAAAAGTGGAATACAGATCTATTAATAATACCACCAGTTAAGGTAAAGGTAAAGGAACCCCGGACCATTAGGTCCAGTCGTGGCCGACTCTGGGGTTGCGGCGCTCATCTCGCTTTATTGGCCAAGGGTCATGTGGCCAGCATGACTAAGCCGCTTCTGGCAAACCAGAGCAGCACACAGAAACACTGTTTACCTTCCCACCGGAGCGGTACCTATTTATCTACTTGCACTTTGACATGCTTTCGAACCGCTAGGTTGGCAGGAGCAGGGACCAAGCAACGGGAGCTCACCCCGTCGCAGGGATTCGAACCGCCAACCTTCTGATCAGCAAGTCCTAGGCTCTGTGGATATTAAGTAGTGAGTGGACATAGCAGACAACACAGAGATTTCTCCAAGTAGTTCTTTATAAGTATGCTGGAACTGAACTGAACTGAACAGCTCAGCCAGTCTGCTTTTATAGGCAGCCGGCTGTCAACATTGTAACAACAACACCCCAGGGTTTCCTGCCTAAATTAACTGACGTGGACCCGAGTGAAAACTATATGCACAATACCCCTGGTGGCCAGGGTGAGAACTTCAATACATAACACCCCTCCCCACCGAGATAAGGCATTAGTTACTCATATTAGTTCCATTACATACAGCAAAATCCTTACTGGTTTCAGTAAGGTGCATAACAGCATCTTAAAAAGCAGAGACATCACCTTGCCAACAAAGGTCCATATATTTAAAGCTATGGTTTTCCCAGTAGTGATGTATGGAAGTGAGAGCTGGCCCACAAAGACGGCTGATCGCCGAAGAATGGATGCTTTTGAATTCTGGTGCTGGAGGAGACTCTTGAGAGTCCCATGGACTGCAAGAAGATCAAACCTCTCCATTCTGAAGGAAATCAGCCCTGAGGGCTCACTGGAAGGACAGATCCTGAAGCTGAGGCTCCAAGACTTTGGCCACCTCATGAGAAGAGAAGACTCCCTGGAAAAGACCCTGATGTTGGGAAAGATGGAGGGCACAAGGAGAAGGGGACGACAGAGGACGAGATGGTTGGATAGTGTTCTCGAAGCTACCAGCATGAGTTTGACCAAACTGTGGCAGGCAGTGGAAGACAGGAGTGCCTGGCGTGCTCTGGTCCAGGGGGTCACAAAGAGTCGGACACGACTAAACGACTCAACAACAACAAGGCACATAAGCATATTGATTCCAATTTTACAAGTTCGCAGGCATAGCTTGTTCACTGTTAACAATATCGCCCATAAGACTCACCATCACATATTAATTGACCCTATTCACCATACAGCTTTACATGTGCAGTTTGTCCGGTGAACATTGTAACAACAACCCAGGGTTTCCCACCTAAATCAGCTGACGTGGACCTGAGCGAAAACTATATACACAATATCCCTGGTGACCAGGGTGAGAACGTCAACACATAACAATGGATGATGTTGGATTTCCAACCCCAGCCTGTCTGGTCAGGGATGACGTGAGCTACAGTTCAACCACATGTGTGGAAAACACCAGGTTGAGTGAAGTTGTTGTGAGTAAGTAAATAGTCACCGCCTTTATAAATGGAGGTTCCCCTCCTGGCTGTTTGGAAAGAGAAGGCGAGTCCTCCAGGACTGGACCACAGCCCCCTCTGGCCTGGTCTCCAGTGGTTCTCCTGAGAAGCCCTGTAGCAGGTGGCAATGGTTTCTTTTCTGGGTGGCGGCTATTGTGGCTGTTAGCTGAGCAATTGTGGCTAGTAGCCTTAACATCATGAACATAGGACAGGCCTTGTTGGGTCCTGAGATTTGCCCAGACCTGCAGAAACCAACCCGGTACTGCTAGCCGGTGCTTTTTTCCAAGGAAAATAGGTGCCGGAACTCACCACGAAGTTGTTACCATTAGTTGCCGGGCGACTCGGGGCAGCCCTGAACAGAGGCCGGTTTGGCAACAGCCGCATCCATCGCCCACGGAGGTACAAGCTGTCTCCCTAGCTGGTTTCGGGGCCGGCCCTGGTTCTGGTACCGGTCAAATAAATGTACCCCGCCTCCCTCATTCTCTGAGATTCAGGTAGACGGCTAGGGCAGCTCAGAAGGACCCTCGTGGAAACATGTCCACGTGCAACGCTAGAGGCCTAGCTGGAGAGCTTAAAGCCTACTGCTGCTATACGGGAGATGGACTGAAGAAATAATAATTGGCCCCAGTCCATAGCTCAATTGTGGCTAGGAACAGCTAGGACCTAGGTGGAGTCATAGTAAACAAGTGCAGACTCACACATGCTGGCCAGCTTCCATTTTGACTCAAGATGTTTGTTTTGGGCTTTTCAGAAGTACGTAAAGGCAAGTAGCAGGCAGAGGAACTGCCAGCCTCAATGGCGCCCACCTGAGAGGGGCCGGAACTACGCTCCGGCTGAATAAAAAGCACTGTTGGTAGTTACTGTATTTTTCCGTGTCTAAGACGATGCTTTGTGCTAAAAAGAAAAAATTAGGCAAAAATTGGGTGTCGTCTTATACACTGATAGTGAATGCAGAGGGGGGACGTCCGATTAATGGCAGCAGCGAGCAGGAGAATGGCAGCGGCGATTGGGCGGGTGATTGGTGGCTGCGGCAAGGCGTGCTGGAGATTGGCTGCGGCTGCAGCAATTGGGCAGGCAATTGGTGGCTGCGGCAAGTGGGCGGGCGGGTATTTTGTGGCGGCGAGCAGGCAGACAATTGGCGGCTGCGGCAAGGTGTGCGATTGGCAGTGGCTGTGGCAAGCGATCGGCAGTGGCGGGCAGGTGGGTGAGCGATTGGTGGAAGTGTCCACCCCCACCCTCCAAAAAAGCTAAACAACTTAATTTCTTAATTTGGGGTTTTTGAAAAAGGGGGTCGTCTTCAACATGCGGGCATCTTATACATGGAAAAATATAGTATCCACACACCGATCACGGTCTCTGCGCTTCATTTGCTCTAAAAGCTTCCAGAGTACAGTGGTACCTCTGCATGCGAACGGGATCCATTCCGGAGCCCCGTTCGCATCCTGAAGCGAACACAACCTGCGTCTGCGCGTGTGCGGGGTCGCGATTTGCTGCTTCTGCGCATGCGTGTGACATCATTTTGAGCGTCTGCGCATGCGCGAGCGGCGAAACCCAGAAGTAACGCGAAGCTACTTCAACCCGAGGTATGACTGTATATGTTATCCATCTGTTGGCTTGGCCCGAGCAGAGCAGGTTGTGGCAGGACAACACTGTCTAATAAAACTGAAATATTTAGAGTGCCTATTAAAGTTCCATCATGGAGATTTAAAGTTCTGTCATGGAGATTAATGGCTTCCTTTTGTGTCCTGTTTCTGGGCCGGGCCTGAGCTTTAAAGCTCTGACACACCTCTGACACATTTTGTTTTTGCCCTCGTGCTTCCCCCACAAAACTCATTCTTTACTGCTGAATCGGAGCAAACGACAACACATGGAAACTCCAAGTTGCTGTTTGTCTTGATTCAGCATTAAAGAACAAGTTTTCCAGGAGAAAGCAGCAGAGAGAGAGAGAGAAGAGGAAGGAAAGAGGTTGGATAGGGAGCTTTAAAGCACAGACCTAGAATCATAGAGTTGTGAAGGACCCTGAGAACAATCTAGTCTAACCCCAGGAATATGCAGCCATCTCTTACGGGGATCGAACCTGCAACCTTGGCGTAATCAGCACCACACTTTAACCAACCGAGCCATCTAGCCTGTTTTCAGAAAGTGCAGGGCAATAGGTAAGTTTGGCTGACCCCTTAAACAATAGCCTGTCGCTGCTTCATCCCAACTGTTAAAGAATCCCAGACTGAAAGGAATAGGACTGAACTTTTAAGACTTGGACGAACCAACAGGAAAGGTGCTATTATTCCCCTGGCAGCTGAGCCCAAATCTTCACAGCATGGGGAGTGTATAAAGGTGAGGGAGGAAATGTTTGTCTGGGGCCATAGGCGTAGCTGGGGGGGGGCAGGGAGGGGCAGCTGCAGAAATGGATTGATTATACCTTTCTTTTATTAGAAACCACATCCAAATTCACTGCAAGCGGGTCACACCCAGCAGCTCAGCTTGAAAGTGTTTAAGGAAGGCAAAGAAGGATCAGGCTTTTGTGGGTTCAGTTTTCTCTGAAGTTGGCATACTTACAGGACAGGGAATACATAAATCTTAAGGGGCAGGCAAGTTGGAAGTGCATTTTAAGCCTTTAACCAGACATCTTCTGGTAGCAGCAATACTAAAAGTGGCCGGTTCACTAGTCAGACTGCATATTCTGATTCCTCAGATCCCAAGTTTCTTTCCCTTTTAAATATATGCTTAGTTGTAGAGGGTTTGAGGCTTGTGGGGTGTATTGCCCGGCTGCCAGACATTTAGCAGGCTGCCATGAGGGGGAAAATGGGGTCTTCTTAGAGAAAGAACATCCATGCTCAGTGGCAGCCTACCTCTGAGTGCTTGGTGCTGAGGGACACAAGCGAGTGAAGGTCTGTTGGCTCCCGTGCTCTATTTATGGGGCTTTCCCAAAAGCATATACCTCTCCTGGGGGGCACTGAAATGATCGGGGTGGTGGTGTAGCCTTGGGTGCAATGGGGGGGGGTATTAAATAAAAATAAGGGGGTGGCAAAAGCATAGAGAAAAAAGGGAAGAATAATTTGAGAAAGCGTTTGTACGTGTTTGATGTGTTGCGTAATGGCGCCCAATGTAACATGGAGTTAAAGTCGTAGTGATTATTTTCCACATAGACACTCAAAATGCAAGTTAACTATATGTGTGTGTACACACACACACACACACACACACACAGTGGTACCTCGGGTTAAGAACTTAATTCGTTCCAGAGGTCTGTTCTTAACCTGAAACTGTTATTAACCTGAAGCACCACTTTAGCTAATGGGGCCTCCCGCTTCCGCTGCGCCGCCACCAGACGATTTCTGTTCTCATCCTGAGGTAAAGTTCTTAACCCAAGGTATTATTTCTGGGTGAGCGGAGTCTGTAACCTGAAGCGTCTGTAACCCGAGGTACCACTGTGTGTGTGTGTGTGTACACCGATTGTAAACAGCTAATTGCGGTGATTGAAGAATGCTGCTGACAAAAATACAATGCAAATTTGCCACTGCATCTTTCTGTTTGTTTGCTTAAAGAAAGTAGATATCTGGGGGGGTGGGGGCGGACAGAGGCTGGGTAATTTTTTTTCTGAAAAGGGGGCTGTAGGCCAAATAAGTTTGGGACCATCTGCACTCGATGGAGACCCCTTTGGGTCTTCTATGCCACCCACCTGCTCTCTGGCACTTGGGGTAAATGGGAGCACCACACGGCCCACGCAAAGCCCCCATTTCTGTGCAAACAAAGTGATTAATTAAGCCAGTGATGGCCAAACCCGCCCCTCCAGCTGTTTTGGGACTACAGTTCCCATCATCCCTGACCCCTGGTCCTGTTAGCTAGGGGTGATGGGAGTTGTAGTCCCAAAACAGCTGGAGGGCCCAGTTTGGCCATCACTGAATTAAACAATCTGGCCTGTTGCAAAATATCGCAATGTGGAGAGGTAATTAGTTAATGCCTGTTGCAGCTGCTGAGTCAGAAGGCAGAGAACCCATCGTTTTGTCCCCGTTTGCCCTCTCCTTCCTGAGTTCAGCAGGAGAGGCAGTGCCTCTGAACTGGTTGCAAGCAAGAAGGGTTGGTGGAGCAAGGGCCCCATTAGTCCTAATGGACTGCCGAGCTCATGTTCTCGATTCCAGCCGGTCATGCCCTTTCCCATGATACTCCATTCCATTTCCACACCCACACCAAACGCTCCATGTGGGAGGCAGCCTGCCTTTTGAACCTAGGAAAGGAGGAACAGGTAAAGCCGAGGCAAGCCTGAGGAAAACATGACCCACGCTCATTTCAAAGTTTGATTCAGACTCCCTGGCCCCAAAAGCAAGGAGTGGCTGTCCTCAAACTCCCCCTAAGGCAGGCTGTAGGAGTGCAAATATTCAGAGTGTGGGGTCAGGTGGGATTACTATGAGGAATTATAAAATATGCATCAAGCCATTGTGTCCACGATGAATGCATTGTGTTGACTGGGTTTGATACATTGACAATAATTTCTGATCAAATCCCACAACCCTCTGCATCTCGTCTACTGCCCATCTCTCTCTTCATAAGTCACGTACACAGCCCAGGCAGGCATCTTGGGTCATCAAAGATAGTGGGCAAGTTTCTTTGATGTAGCTTTCTGATATGTTAATCCCAGGATGTTAATCTTAGGGCAGGGAAACAGATCTCACATGAAGGTGATAATGATCGCTGTCCTCCTGGCCATCCTTCTTATCATATATATTGTTTATTTGTTTTTTTAATAATATTTATTACTTTTGCAACAATTTAAACACTTACAAAGAAAAAACAATACATTACAATACAAAGACACTACATAACTAACAAAACAAAACAAAAACAATTTAAAAACACATCAAAGAAGAAAAAGAGAAAAAGAGAAAAAAAGAAAAAAAAATCAATATCTTATCTTTCTTTCACATATTTCCACGACCTCCTCATGCCTCCCTTTTTGTATTTCACTTCTATTAATTATTTCAGCAATTCCTTTCCATCATCCCCTGTTTTCTGTCCTATAATTATCTTAACACATTTTAACCTTATTTTTCCATTAATACTCTATTAATCTATTTGTACTTAATTCCTTATAACCTTTCTACTGAAGCCATATCACTTCATTCCAACGTTCTTCTAACATTCATTAATTTTACAATATTTCTGTAAATAGTCTTTAAACTTTTTCCAATCTTCTTCCACCGACTCCTCTCCCTGGTCTCGGATTCTGCCAGTCATTTCCGCCAGTTCCATATAGTCCATCAACTTCATCTGCCATTCTTCCCTGGTGGGTAAATCTTGTGTCTTCCAATACTTCGCGATGAGTATTCTTGCTGCTGTTGTTGCATACATAAAAAAAGTTCTATCCTTCTTTAACACCAATTGGCCGACCATGCCCAGGAGAA